TCTCTCTCTCTCTCCCTACTGTTAAGTAACTTGTGCATTGTTTTACTTACTTGTTTTTGACATATCCGACTGAACTACAAACTTTCCAGTGATGTCTGTGAGAAAGATATTTTCACTCGACAAGCTCGCGCATCTGCGCCGCCTGCGCGCTCAATCCACTCAGCGTGCTTTGTTTATCAGCTCGCTCACATCAGCTATACAGGCGTTAATACTGAATGTTTAACATTATATTCATTGCATACATATACTTCGTAGTAGACATCCTTAACTCCATTCTGCTGTCTGTTGTTCTGTTGTCGGTGTTTCTTTGTCTGAACATGGCGCTTATCACATGCTGTGTGGTATCGGCGTTTGGTATCGGGGCATTTTAACGAGTACGAGTACAGGAGCTCAGTATCGGGCCCGATACCAGTATCGGTATCGGTGCATCCCTAGTAAAAATGTATGATTTATCAGAAAAAAATACAATTAAACAGGACACATTTTAATATAAGGGAAAAAAGACAAAATTGAAAGCTGTATTAAACTTTTATTAGTTTTGATGCTTGATGTCTGAAATCAGAGGATTGTGATTTAACAGTAATCTGTTCATAGGTTTTGATGTCTTGATCTGTAACAGTCTTTAGCTCTGGGTTTTCAGTACTCGTCTGTGTGTTTATTCAGGACGACGCAGGAAAACCGGATCAATGGAGTCGATGTGAGGACTCGTATGTCGTCCCGGTGAGAGCGTTTCCACCGTTCACACATTCAATTAAAGACAGAGCACAAAACAAAATCTTCAGATATCACTAATCATATTGTTTTTAAAGTGGAGGGACATAAACATCATTCCATCTTCTCATATGTTTGCATTCAACCAAACTTTACAGTATTTAACCGCAACTGCATATCAAATTAGGTCCATTTCGACATGCTTTCCATAGACAGACACGCTCTGTATTTGCTGCTCTTGTAGGTCACAGAGGCCATGGCTGACCTGAACCTCGTCTCATCCCAAGAAGAGCAGCTGGAGTACCTGCGATGGAAGAAGGAGCGCGAGGAGATCGACCGCGAGCGCGTGGCCCGACACAAGAACGCCAAAGGCCAGTGGAGGAGAGCCTGGGACATGGAGAAGAGCGATCTGATGTAAGCCAGACGCCTGCGCCTGATTTCTGTTCTGACGTGAGAGAAACTCATCTGCCTTGCTTTAGTTTGCACCTTGATTTAGTTTGATTTCTTCTTTCGGTTGTTCATTTTCTGCATGTTTAACTGCCTCATACATACATAAATCACAGCTGTTTGAATCGTAATGGTGTCATTCTTGTCTGTCTGTCTTTAGGTTCATGTGTTCAAATCATATCTTTGTTTTCTTTATTGGTTCTGAACTAAATGATTCATAGATTCACCAGTGAAGGATTAAAGACATACACTTTTTGACATTTTTGGCCTTTTTTTTTTGTTATTTAACATGTTTCTTTATGCTTAAAATGATCCAAATTAACGTAAATATTTTATCTTTAATAAAGTGTTTATATTATTTTGATATTATTTAATAAAATAATAAATAATTAGATAATACTTTTTTTTAAGGTGTCCTTGTTACACATGCTACATGTACTTACTATTATAATAACAATTAATTATGCATAATTACATGCAAGTAACCCTAAACCAAACCCAAATCCTAACCCTTAACTTATAGTAAGTAAATGTAGTTAATTAATATTACTCAGTACTTATATGTATAATTACACAGTAACCAGGACACCTTAAAATAAAGTGTAACCAATAATTACTAAAAACCATTTTCTAATCCCAGAATTTTCATTTGGGTGCATGCCTAGTTAAAACAGATTTACACTTTAATAAAGTTAACCAATAGTCAGATATCTATTTAGTCATTATTTATGTTTCCATCCATGCATTTTTATGCAAATTTTAGGATATTGCATTTAAAAAGTTGGATGGAAACGCAGAGATGTGCATCAAATCTGAAAATTCACATTAAAAAAGTTATTTGCTCAATTGAGATGGTAGTCATTTGTTATGTAGGAAAAAAGCCACAGACTTAAAATATTTAGGCCTAAATTTAAGATTTATGTATTAGAATTGCGTATAAAATTTTCTTTCCATTTGGATTAAACGGTATTAACATAAAAAACTAATAAACTTAATGTGATGCCTATTTGTCAGTCAGGCATAAATGAAACAGCTCAGATTTCTGCACTCAAAAAAATCCTGCCATAGTTTAAATAATTTTAAATTAAAGGTGACATATCATGAAAATCTGACTTTTCCAGGTTTTAAGTGCTATAATCTGGTCCCCGGTGCATCTACCAACCAAGGAAACGTGAAAAAGATTAACCCAGTCACTTTGTTTTGGGAAGCCTTTTTCTGCGATGTGTGCTCTCAGAAAACCGTATATCTGAAGTTTAAACATGATAATCAGAACCAAAACAGATGTTTTTTTAGCAGGTACTAGCTGTAATGGCGCAGCTCTATTCTGGAAAAGGGGGCGGGGAGCAGCA